ACCACGCATTATTCACAACTCACCCATTTACTCTAACATAGAGGTCACTCACATTACCTCTCCTTTATGAATCAAGTGCCCTCACACAACAAAAGAGAGTAGCTCCACATAATAAAATTTAAGAACACTTAGGAACTTAAGATAGAAAGAATTCACTCACTCTCAGAAATAACATTCATATGCCACAAAAAATGCACCATAGGCTTGCCTATAGTGTACTACTCTACTAATCGAGCTCATTCAGTCTAGGATCAAGTAGGACTTTATTTGGTTGTAATGTAGGTTGCGGGACGGGTAGGATACATTTAGATATAATAGTGACTACACCTCCCTAAGCACTTTAATGCATATACTTTAACATCCAACCCCCATACTTATGTCAAACCAAAACTCCACCTTCACATTAATATATATTACCCCATTTTTTTAAGTACAATTATATCAAGGAATATTTATTTTTTCACAGAAATACAATAATTATTATTTTCTTCAATTCAAGTGGCTCTTACTTGTTCAAAACAGTGCACATTTCACCTTATTTCGTTAGTTCCCCTCAAAAGCCAAACCAGCTACCCCACACTTTAACTTTTACACAGTTCATAAACAATTCAAATGCTCATGAGAGGTTACAATGGATCAAATAGATGGTTAATTCAAACAAATGAGTAATGCTTTAATATGGTTGCCAAAGAAACATGATTACAAGCTCATAGAGGATAACTACGACACATAACAATTAGGCGGGTAAAATATACATATCTGGCTCAATAAAGAAACACCTATATCACTTCCAAGACTGAACAAAACTACTATTTTGTTTTGCAAACACACGGCGAAAGTTCTATACATCAAATGAAATGCACAAAATAACACCCAAACCTCACACACACATGACACATAACTCACTCAGAATTGGTTTTCTCAAGATACTCTAGTCAAAGCAGTTAAGCAAAGTCAAGATCATACAATTTAAGGTACTTATACAAGAGTCAAAAACTGAGCCTAAGCTTCACAACCAGAGTACTTACTATTCTCAAGGCATAACAAAGTTAAGAAATATCAACACAATTCAATTCATCTCACACTAGCTCCTACTCCTAGAAAAATAAAACTAACTACACCCGGTTCAAAGAAAACCTTTGGAAAAGAACCGCGACACAAAGAAAAATCAAGGGGTAATTGCTAAACTACTTAACAACAGAAAATCTTTTTGTCTTTTTCTTTAGACTTAAATCCACCAAGAAAATTTTCTAATAGATCCATTGTCAGGATAAGTCCAATATTTTTTTTTTGTTTTTCTAAAAAAATAAAAAAATATTCAATTAAACTAACACAACTAAAATAGCATAGAAAGTCATCCACACAATCTCCTCACCCCACATTTAAAATTGTGCATTGTCCCCAATGCACACCATAACTAATAAAGGGGTAAAAGAGACTCTCTGGTAGGCCAAAGGCCGAAGCCTTACATCTCATAGGGTACTCAGACTTCTCCCAAGCTTGGTCCTTCGTGCGGGTACTTCACACTTAGTTCCAACCATTGGTTTGTTGTTGCATCTTTCCAATAGCTTTGCTTTCTATGTTCCTAGAAGATAAAAAATTGACACTAAAAAAATAATAAAATAAAAAAAATAGTAAAGCTGGGTTGCCTCCCAACAAGCGCTTGATTTAACGTCGCGGCACGACATGAATCACTTTTTGTCTCCACCTCGAGCTTATGAATTGAACTTCAAGTTTTTCTTCAAGCTTATGATTATGTTCTTGGGGCGGTGGAATGAATCTAACTGGCCCAAGAAAATAATGTAGTATTCTGCACTCCTTGGCCTTTGTATGAGGTATGTAATCCTGACTCTCTGGCAAGAAGAATTCCAAAATATATGCACCTTGTTCCTCATTCCTTGACTCTTCAGTTGGTTCGGATGACTCTATTTCCATATCATCATCCAAACACAATGTGAAAAAATGCTTAGAGTGTGGACCGATTCACTCACACGCATGAACTTCAGGACTTTCAGCATCCTCAACATCAATGATACTAGAGTCAACAAAATTTATATCCTCAATGTCCTTGGCTGACTCTAGTCTCACTTCTTCAACATCGCCATCCTCAAATTCTAGTTGGTTAGATTATTGGTTTTCTACTCTGACTTCCTCCATTTGCACCTTAATTTCGGCATCTATATGCTCTTCTTGGATGCTATCCACAATATTGGCTTGTTGAGCGTTAACTACCTCAACTAGTTGACTCACTTGTGCCTCCAGGTTGCGAATAGCAGCATCTTGACTTTGTATGTGCAGTTGTTTCTCATTATTTTGTTCCACAAGGAACCTTAGCATATCTTTGATCTCTTTCAGGTCATCATCCCTGGGTTCTTTATTCCTATTGACTTCACAAGAAAAAGAAGAACCATCAAAGTAAGGGGTTGAGGTAAGATAAGAAATATAAGCACAACCATAAAAGTGACCATCTTGACCACCACACATATCGCATACATTCCACACATAAGATTGAGTTGGTGCACATAACTCGCTCTCGGAAATATTTTGATAATTTTGTCATGGGTGGTTTTCTTCACGATATGCATAAGGAGGACCAAAAGTAGAATTACCAACATCCAAACTCCCATAATTCCAGGATGCCATGTTTCTCAAATTAACAAGTAAAACAAAAATATAAAAAAAAAATCAAATGCAACAAAATAAAAATAAAAGTTCAAACTTGCAACCTAGCAATATGTACACCTACAGCTATGCCGTTAGTTCCCCGACAACGATGCCAAAATTTGATCATTCCCAACTCTAGTCCTAAAAAGGATAAGCGGTCGCTGCAAATATAATCCGGTCTAAAAGTCCGGAGTCGAATCCCACAGAGAACTAAGGCTTAGCTATATCTGTTTAATATCACTAAAAAGACAAGTTTGAACAATTTTCTAAATTATGAAGATTGGGATTTATATTTCTAACTAATTAACTAGCAAATACTAGAAAGAGGTAAAATTATCAACTAACGAGACAAAGGGTTGCAGACTAAATTAAGGAGGTCTAGAGTTATGATTTTCCCAATTGTCGGAATCCTTCTAGCTATGTTCCATACAATTTTACCAATACATTCTCTACTGATCGTGAGTACTTTAGGTACCGTAATTCTCTCTCGAGCAACTACAATAATTTACTAGGTATATTCTCTCAAACTACGCTAGTTGGCTTTATCTAACCGCTCATTATGACCACGTCAAGGTTTTGTTATTTCTAAACCTGCCTTTAAACCCGTTGTATTGATTTCTCAATACGTTAGGAGTGACGTTGTTCAACAACCACCTAAATATGTATCATTTCTCAAGCAATACATAATAAATAGGCACAGTCAATCAATGACCATTCAATCAACTGAAATAAGCACGTAGTTGAACAAATAGACAAATTCAAAGGTTAAATTATATTAAAACGTAACCAGAATTCATCCTCCAAGAGGTTCCATCAAAACCCTAGATAACAAATCAGCTATTCATAATAGTTTGCAAAATACAATACTAGAATTCATAACCAATAATAGAAATAGGAAGAAGGAAGTGGAAAAACTCGTAGAAGAATTCTCCGTCTTGCTCCCAGTGTGTTCTTGTCTCCTTAGGTCGAATCCCCGATCTCCTTAGCCTCTTTAAGTCTAAAAACAAGCTTCTTTGACTTGGGTGAGGTTGTTGAGTTTATATAGGGTTAGGATAAGTTTCCCACGCTTTACACTTTAGCTCCTGAACTTTCTCAGCCTTCTCCAGATCAACCGGGGTCGCGGGCCAACCGCGGTCGTTTTAGACTATTCTGTTTCGTGCCTTTTTCCACCGCGTTCCAGCCACGGTCCTACCGAGGTCGCAGTGGATTGTAGCCCAGTTTTTCTTCGCCTTTTCTTGCTCGTTTTCATCCGGGCTCTTCTCGATTGGTCTTGTATCAACATATTTGACCCCAAAACACTCTATATCCTCCTCCTAACTCGGAGTAGCTCCTGCAAAGCATAAAAAACTCAATTAGAGCATTTTGTTATCATTTAACACTTAAAACATCAATAAAATATGGTTAACTTAGAGCATAAATAGCATCTACATTGCATAATACATGCTACTATCAGTGTGTTTGTTATTGTCCTTCCCTTTATCTTTCCTAAGCTGAGTGTCTACCAGAAACAACCTCTTTGCCTAAGGTTTGCGTACATATTTTTTTTCCTTAGATCCCATTTATGGGATCACACAGAGTTTGTTGTTGTTGTATATATTAGTATAACTAGATGCTTAAAAGTTTCATACATTTTTCTTTTGCATGATATGATATTTTAATACATTTTCTTCGTTTAAATACTTTCAAATGTTAGTTTTATTTTGAAAAGCCTAGAAATTTAAACTTGATAGAATTTATGCGGTGTCTCCCCGTAGTGAAACACACTGTCCCCTGCATTGCCCTTGTATCCAGTGGCGCGAAGTTAGGAATTTCTCCAAAGGTATTCGTATTTAAAAGAAGTCGAAAAAATTCCGATAAAGGATATCCAATATGGGTTATATATTTTTAAAATATAATATTTTATCTATATAAATAACATAATTTTTCGACGAAGGATGATCAACTCAATATGTGGCTTCGCCACTGCTTGCATTAGATTAAATGTATAAAAGTGACAAGGCACTCGTACAAAAATGATATACCAAAACTTTCACATAATTAATCATGACGACTGCACACTCATCTCCATTATTGTCACAGTTGGCAATACAACTAGACAAAAGTTTAGTAGATGTCATCAACATTGTCTGTAGCAAGGGATTATTGGAGATTATTAGAAGCATCATCGGAAGGATAAGACAAGTAACATAATTTAACTAATAAAATACAATTATAAATCTAATTGTCAGCATCCAAGTAGGTCAAGTCACCAAATGAGCAATAACTCCAACAAAGGAATCAAAGAGAACTAAAAAAAATGGTAATATTGGAATAATAAGAAGAAGAAGAAGAAAAAGTATGAAAGAAAAGTCATTATTCAGATATCCAAAAACAAAATGTTGGAAAAAGAATGCTTAGCAAGTGTGCAATCCAAGAATATCAATTACAATCAGTCCAATAAAAATTGAGCTAAACTCACTCTCTAAGACTCGAATTTTTCCATCCTATTTTGTCTAATTAAGCTGCTTTCTTTTCAACAAGTTTTTCAATCAAGTCAGCAGCATCTTGAACTGTTACAATAGTCTCAGAATTCTCTTCTTCTACTGCAATGCCAAATTCCTCTTCCAATGCCATCACAATCTCCACCTGCTCGTCACAAACATTTACTGAGTCATTTGATCATTCTCTCTCTATATATATACACAACGAATTGCAGAAGCAAATCAGTAAGTCAAGATAGAAATTAGTACTCACAGTGTCAAGAGAGTCAGCGCCGAGGTCCGTATTGAACGTAGATTCAGCAATAACTTTAGTGTCTGCAGGTAAAGCCAGTTGCTTCCTCACTATGCTTATTACCTTCTCAACTGTCTCTGGCTTTGCCTGTGGGTTGAAATGGATCAAATCAATAAATATGTTATGGCCCAACTATTACAATTAACTTATAATTGGTAAATACTTACCCACACCGGGTGTTTACACCAAACCATATTAACTCATTATGGTTAATTAATTTAATTAGATGAGAATGCATGTAATTTACCATGGTTAAATGATTGAAGTCCATATGCAAGACACATGTCATATATCTATTGGTTTGGTGTAAACACCCGGTGCGGGTAAATGTTATCCCTTTTTTCTTTCTCCCCCTATCTACCATGTAGAGAATTTTTTTGAAAAACAAAGTGTCATGACCCCACTTGCCTAAAGTTTGTTTGAGTCAAGATGGTCTAACATACTCAGTGGAGGAGGCAGAATTTTTATTAAAGGGTGACAAAATATAAAAAGATAAACACATGAAAAAGTTAAGGGGAGTCAATTTAGAGTAATATATACATATAAAATAAAAATTACCGAGCTATACAGTATAAGTATAATTTTCTGGACGAAGGGGTATCAATTAACATAAAGTGGCTCCGCCACTGAACATGCCCAACCTCCCCTTTTTTGGTTTGTCTTTTGAAGAAAAAAAAAACTAATGCATATCTCTAAATGATTAACTTAAGTTTTTTTTTTTTCCCCTTCAAAATTCAAATTAGATTAGATTTGGTATGTATGAGTCATTTCAAATTCAACCTGTTGAATAATCTAGTCAACAAACATGTTATATAAACTTGAGTAGGTGAAAGAGTAATGGTTGATTTTGTCAAGGTCAATAAATCAGGTATGTCATATTGGTTTTAGCTCATTTAATTTTTTAAGGACTTAATTTTTTTTAAAATAAAACTGCTACATTACATAGCGCAAATACAAGATTAAATGGAGGCGCATGAAAAAGAAGATTTACACAAGAAACACGGAAGCGGGAAGTTCTGAGAGAAGGAAAACCAGCAGTCCTCGCCCAACCTACAGAAACCAACTTCAGACCTGCATTTCCTCCGTTTATCTGCACATTGATTTAATTAAATTATTTATGTATATTAAGTACGAATATTTGCACCACAGATTAGGCGTGGAAGTAGTTAGTGGACTAATTGCATTATTGAAAGAAATGCAATTGCCTCTATAGTCAATATGTATGCTACATTAATAATTCAAAAGAAAATTAGTCATGTCAAAATCACAACTAAAGTTAACTATTCGTAAGTTTTTAGCAATAACCTGTGATGTCTTGAACGACTGATTGAGTGAACACCCAAATCTGAGACAAGCAGCTGAAACACTAGCCATTTTATGAACAACTAGGAATAGGAGAAAGACAGATAAGAAATGCAGGGGCTGTAGTGATGAGGAGATAATGAGTTTGTTTCAAGATTCAAAGATGACTCACAATTTGAACACTAGTTATCCAGAAAAGAAGAAAAAGACAGTAATATTAGTAGTATTATATACTATTACGTAGAAGTTGACAAAGTAAAGGACATTACATTATTATTTTGTGTGGTGGGAAAAAGGGAAGAAGAGGTAGGATCCGGCGAGTGGTGAATATTTACCGGAGCAGCCTGCAAATCCTATCCAAATTATATGTTACTTTCTTATGTGACATAGCTGGGATTCTGCTTGCTGGCTAATATTTTGTTTCGATTCTCCCTTTGTCAAGTTGACCACGTGCAACACCCTTTTTTTTCTTACCCATCTCCGGTATTTATATTGAGGTGAGGTTCAACTAAATTCGAATTCGTATATGAAAATTTCACACGAAAAAGTAAAATGCTTCCTAACAAAAGTAACTCCATACTTAGGGATTGAACCCTTGTTTTTGCAACAGCTTAATGAACTCAATCTCGTCCTAATTGTGTACAACATTTTGCTTAAAATCAGATAAAGATTATGTTTGATACTATCAAAATTCTTTTATTTCGGGATTTAATTGATTGTTTTGTATGGTTAGTACTTTCGATATTTTATGCTTTACATCAAAAGAAAATATAACTTAATTCATTGAGGGAAAATGTTTTTCTTGCATGCTACGTTGTTCTTTATTATTGGGTCAAATGGTTTTGTGGATCTTTGCGAACTTATTTTTATCTACGGAAAAAGGCCAAAAATATTCCTATAGTATTCTAAATGGTTTACTATCGAGCTCTGTCCACCTATTTGTCTGAAAATACATCTAAATTTGTCTTGAGGTCTGAAATTACCCCGCGACTAACGGAATATTATGTGGCCTTTTTTGAATGAGCTGACATAATTTATTGGGCCACGTGGTACCTCAGTCCAGATTGAACAAAACCGCCCCAGTTTTTGACCCGCCACAACTCCAATTAAACCCGAGTTAATAAAAAGTAACACCCTCATACCATTCATTTTTTTTCCTCACAATGATTCAACCTCAAACAACACAAGAACTTAGCCTTCAGTACTTTGCTTTGCAGCAAATTTGCAATTCGAAACGTAAATTAAGGTTACCCCAAATCATCTTTAACCTTCTCAAACTTCATATTTAGGTCCTTAAAATTGATTCCAATGCATTCAAATCATACCATTCAATTTGGAGCAACAAAATTCACATCTGCAGATTTCAAATCGAGCTACAAGTCCCTTTAATAAAAAAATTGCCCACTCTTCTTCTTTCTTTCCACTGCTTCTTCAAATCGAATATTACCTATTCCTACAAAAAACCAACACTAACTCACTGCTATTCTTAGAAGTGAGGAGGCTAGGGAGATTAACTTCTTTGAATTCTTCTCTGGCGTCTTAGCCATCCATTCAAGACTCTTTACACCCAACTCATAAATACTACTACATCTTATCGCAGCTACCATCCTAAAAGCCAAAGAAAGTTGATCCCACCATTAAAACCTCAGCTTTGCTACTTTCGGAATTTGTAAATTCAACAAGAAAATCCTAACCCGTCCTAGTTTCAGATTCTAGTGTTAGCGAAGAAGAAAGTAATAATCTAGAAAATGGAAGATGATTCGAGCAGTACTAGTGGTAATTTAGATGAATCAGGTGCATTAGTTCTCTTAGGAAAGATTATATTAGCATAAATCATATTTCTATTCCAAAAAATAGCGGGTCAAAATTTGGGACGGGTTTGCTCAATACGAACTGAGGTGCCACGTGGCCCAATAAAATTATGCAAGCTCATTAAAAAAGAGGCCACACAATATTCCGTTAATCGCGGAGGTAATTTCAAACCTCAAGGTAATGTTAGATGTGTTTTCAAACAAATAAGTGGAGAGAGCTCCATAGTAAACCATTTATTAAACGATAGAGGTATTTTTGACCCTTTTCCATTTTATCCGTATGACTCTATATCTTTTTTTAAAAATAAATAAATAAATGGGAGGTTTACTTTTACCAAAAAAAAAAAGATCTCTCTTTTACACACAAGGTATCTAAAAAGGACATTTTCTTAATTTTAACGTTGTAAATAACTATGAAGGCAATTTCTTCCTATTATTATTTCTGACTTTTTTTTTTTACCATCATGTATATGCTATTATTGCCCTGACAATTACAAAACGGTAGAATAAAGTAGCAATGACACCAAGTAGCCATTTTAAAGGATTGATACTTAGGAATTAGTAAGTGCAACTTGAATTTTAGTTTTTCAATTTAATTTTTCAGGATAAAAATTTGAATTATCATGAAATTAAAATGCTTAGTTTAAAATTTTAGGACAAAAAAAATATTGATTAATCCCTGAGAATGGCTATGATTGCACTTGCCCCTAGCCTCAAGACAAATAAGTTACCTACACACTATCATATTTTACTAAATTTAGCAATCAAGCATTAACAAATATCTTCATTTGAATAGATAACCCTTTTGAAGAGAGATGAATGAAACCTGCAAACATTTTGATGATTACGTGCCTATAAATGAAGGGGTTTTGATACAGTTACTCATACAAATAAAATTATTTACTTTTGTCTACCTATTTATTTTCTTACCCATAAATTAATTATATTTCTTACCCATAATAGGTTTTGTGGGGAAATTTTTCTTTATTTTCCAATTTTTTTTATTTCTATGCTTCTTTTCTTTTTTCTCGTTTTCTTCTTATTTTTTTCTTTTTTCCTTTTCTAATTTCATTTAACTTCTTTTTTTTTATATTTTTTTTCTCTTCATAATCTAATTTAATTTACTGTTTTCACTGTTTTTTATTATTCTTTTTTATATATATATTATTACTAAAGAAAAATCAAATTGTGTACTAATTAAATGTAGCTAATATAACCAAAAAAATATTAACTAACATATGATACCAGTATAGTATGTAGCTATACCAACAGGGTATATAATTGTATGCAAAGAGTTTAAAATTTTTTAATTCAATTATTAAACTGAAATAATATCAGTTGTCAATAAAAATTTCAAAAAATTCTAAAAGGATCTAATTATAAGAGTATACCGTTACATTATATAGCATACTATAATTTATTTATTTATTTGCATTTTCAATTTGCCCTTCACGATGGTTAAAAGCTTAAGGGGAAAGGCAAGTGAATTTACGGGTAATAAGTATACTATTATAGTATATTGTATACTATTACAGCATATTGTTACAGTATCTTGCATATTATTACAGTATGCCATAACAATATATTGTATACTATAATAGTATACTGCAATCCTATAGTATATTAGTAAACTGTAGCGGTATACTGTTAGGTAGTTGTGTTCTTCTTCGATTATTATAATATACCGTTGCAGTATATTGTGAACTATAATAGTATACTGTTGCATTATAGCTATATACTCCTACATCATATTGTATACTGTAGAGGCATACTGTAGCTATGTTCTTCTTCGTTTTTTTAAGATTTCGATCTCAATCACCTCAAATCAACTCCAAATGCTATCAAATTTCAGTATGAACTTCCAGAAGGTACTATAAGCAATATTTTAACAGCACCCACTTTGAATCAAACAAGAATCTTCAAAAATAAAATTGAGCTTCAAGCCCAACAATGGTGGATATTCAAATACACATAAAAATTTAGATCTAGGAAGCTTGCTCGAAGATACTATAAGCAATATTTTATAGCATCACATCGAATCAAATAATAAATCTTCAAATAGTAGCACCACTTCAACAAAGCAATCATGAAAGAAGAGGTGAATGGTGGCAGGGCCAGAGGTAGTAGGGGTGTGCATTCGAATTAGTTTATCGATAAACGAATCGATTATTTGTTATCGGTTTATCGATTTATCGATTTCGATTTCGAAATTTTCCTTATCAAGTTATCGATTTCGATTTTGTCATCTTCGGTTATCGATTTATCGATAAACCGGTAAGAGATATATATATATATATCCTTATTATATAATACCCTTTTCTTTACCCTAAGTCCCTAACCCTATTATTTCATCTACCACATTTAAGGAATGATCATATTTAAAGCTCAAGAGAATGAAGTTCAAATTAATGGAAAATGGAATTAGTCGTGATGATGTATTTTTTTATATCGTTGGAATGTTGGTGGCATACATTTGATCTCTTACTTTAGTTTTCTTGCATGTGCTTGTTGACACAATTTTTATGTTATAAACGGTGTTCGTCTTATTTTAGCTTCTTTTTGTCCATATTAGTTAGGCGTGTTTATAGCGATATACTTTCCGTGGAATCCAACAAATTTTCTTATTGGTGTAATCGATAACCGAATCGATAAGCCCCAAAAATCGATAAATTGAAACCGAAAAAATCGGAACCTTATTGAAACGATAACGATAAGCATATATACAAATCGATAAGTAATTATCAATAAGGGTCAAAATCGAATCGATAAATCGAATGCATACCCCTAAGAGGCAGGGGCATCTTTGAACATCTGGGAGGTTACTGAGCCAACGAGAATTTCAACTTTAGGACAAGTATTGGCATAGTAGTTAACGGTGAGTTGTCGAGGCTGTCGTCGGAGGGTATTGATGGATGGGGAGTTGAGCAAAGAATTGGAGGAAGGTAAAATGAGGAAGAAGAAGAAGAGGAACATAATAAAGGCGGGTAAATAGTTTGGGGCACATGGATAGAAGTAGTAAATAGTTTGGGCTTGGGCATTAAACGGTAAATAGTTTCGAATTAATGGGTATAAAGTAAAATTTTCTCATAAATGAACTCAGGCCGATGGGAACTTTTCCAATTTGAGTCAAGATAAAAGTTCCAGTTTGAAAGTTTTGATGGGCATGGGCATGAACATCATTGGGCTCTCAAAGCAAATTGGGCCATAAAACTTTGTGGAAGTTCGAATTTTAAGCCTAAAAAAAAAACGGGAGAAATTAAAAAATAACCAGATTTACAATTGGTCGTTCAAAAATAGCCCAGTTTCAAAAGTAATCGAAATTTAGCCATTTTTCATGTAAAGATAAATCTGAGCGAACACACTGTTCAAAACTTGGAAAATACGCTAGTATATTATACTTGAGTTCCAGCATAAGTACACTAGAACTCCAGCATAATATACTGGAGTTTCAGCATGTATAATTGTCCAGTATAATATACTGGAGTTTGGAGCACCGATGCTCCAGTCTCCAGTATACTATACTGGAGTCAACAAAGTATACCGATCCAGCATAATATGCTGGAGTTCATACATAGGTGCACCGAACTCCAGTATATTATGCTGGACCGATCTCTGTTGCAGCAAAATAGTGGCTATTTTTCATTAAGTTCATAAACACTGGCTATTTTTGAATGACCAGTCCGAAAACTGGCTATACCGTGCTATTTTTACCAAAACAACTGCACATTTATCAGCTGGGTCATGTTGATATGCAACTTACATTGGTCATTGTTTTTTTGACCATAAATTAAAAGCAAAATCTCCTACTTTCATAGTAGAAAGGTTTATAACAATTGTATAGTGCTCACATAATCTATCAAGCTACTCTAATCATCTACATGCTAACTTTTTTTAATGATTGTGGTGTCCGAACTATCTTGTGCACATTTTCACTAATTTTATGGAGTGCCTGCTATATCATCACATGTATCATTTGACTTGCATCGCACTCAAGTTGGCGATTCTATTTGACTAAGTAGTATTTCACTTGTGCAGTGGGTGTATGGGCTAGCCCATGGTGCGATCAATTATGATATACTTAACCCTTGTCCACCAAAGGTTGGATAAATAAAAAAAATCACTTAATGTTCTTGTTTCTATTGAAATTTAAATCTAAAATCTTATGGTTATCAACCCACTTTATTGACTACTAATGAAAAATTTATGGCCAAATAATTGGGAAATATTTTGGAATTCTAAAGAAAAATAAAATGAAAAGAAAATAATTTGGGTTTGGCAACAACCGACCTACTAATAATATAGTGAAGCATCATGTCCAAGTAAATAATGTCAGCGGTCCAATCGCTTGTTCCCCAAGTCTAAGCTGCTTTAGCCCTTTATATAAACCTTTTTCTTAAGTTTTCCTCTTACCCTCATCCTTCTCTCTCTCTCATCTCTCTCTCTCTACTCGATCGAGAGAAAATCCTCAATACATAGCCGAAGTAGCCGAGTCCGGAGAATCACCAGAACAAATCTAAAGAATATCAAAACCTGTATTTTGATCCGGTTTTCTCGAATCAGGTATTTAACGATTTCTTCATTACTTAGGGCTTGAAAAAAAAAACTAGGGCTTGAAATTGTACCTCTATAGTTTTCAGAAGTTCCTTATTAAGTTTTAGTTTTCTGAATTGAAATTGTTCAAAGTACGATTTGTATTCATTTTCTGTTATCTTTTTCTATATATTTCAGTTGAATCGATTTGATTTGGGCCGTAGCAATCTGTCGTTGGATAGGGATATTGATTATTTCCAAATTTTAAGTCAGAATATGAGCTTTTCATCTGCACAAAACAATAGACGGAATAACAACAGTAATCGGCCCGGAAACAATCCTGTTCAAAGTGCTCGACGTGAGTGGTTACCTCGGGGATCCACGGCCACCACCGCTGTTTCAGCTGCCCCTGTCACCACCACGGTAACTACCACTGTTGTGAGCCCTGTGTTCAATCTTAATGGTTCAAGCTCAGCTGGAAATGGAAGAGAAAAGGATAATGTGTCAGCTGCACCCGTTAATCGTCGAAATCAGACATATGTGGGACCCAATCTCAATAAGGGGCCGACATATGCGAGGAGAGAGAGGGGCAGGGAGAACCATAATTATCAGGCGAACAGGGTGGAGAGGGCGGTCAATGGGAGGATTAATCAGGGCGAACACACACGTTTGAAGGACCCTAATTTGCCTCAACTTGTGCAAGAAATTCAGGAGAAGCTGTTGAAGGGGAACATTGAGTGCATGATTTGCTATGATATGGTGCGGAGGTCTGCCCCTGTTTGGTCATGCTCGAGCTGTTACTCTATTTTCCATCTTAATTGTATCAAAAAATGGGCCAGAGCTCCCACTTCTGTTGACATGTCTGCGGAGAAGAATCAGGGATTTAATTGGCGCTGTCCAGGCTGTCAATCAGTGCAGCTCACTTCATCCAAGGAGATCCGATATATTTGCTTTTGTGGGAAGAGGCCAGATCCTCCTTCAGATTTGTACTTGACCCCACATTCATGTGGAGAGCCCTGTGGCAAGAAACTTGAGAAGGAGCTTCCAGGGCATGATCTGAGTGAAGAGGATCTGTGCCCTCACGTTTGTGTCCTACAATGCCATCCTGGTCCTTGTCCACCTTGTAAGGCATTTGCTCCAGCTAGAAGTTGCCCCTGCGGGAAGGAAGTAATTACCACTCGGTGCTCTGATCGCAAGTCCGTTCTTACCTGCGGACAGCAGTGTGGTAAGCTTCTTGACTGTGGGCGTCATCGGTGTGAACAGACTTGCCATGTTGGTCCTTGTGGCCATTGTCAAGTTATTGTGAATGCCTATTGCTTCTGTAAGAAGAAAACAGAGGTTGTTCTTTGTGGAGACATGGGTGTGAAAGGAGATATCAAGATCGAGGACGGCGTCTTTTCATGCAGTTCAGCTTGTGGAAGGAAGCTTAGCTGCGGAAACCACATCTGTCTTGAGCTCTGCCATCCAGGGCCATGTGGGGATTGTGCCTTGTTGCCAAGCAAGGTCAAGACATGCTGCTGCGGTAAAAGCAGCTTGGAGGACGAAAGACACAGTTGTTTAGATCCAATTCCAACCTGTTCCAAGGTCTGTGGTAAAAGCCTCAGGTGTGGGGTACATCGCTGTCAAGCGGTGTGTCATTCTGGTGACTGTGCACCATGTCTTGTTCCTGTCACTCAAAGATGCCGCTGTGGGTCAACTTCTCGGACAGTGGAGTGTTACAAAACACAGGCAGAAGTTGAGAAGTTCACTTGTGATAGACCTTGTGGGCAAAAGAAGAACTGTGGAAGGCACCGCTGCAGTGAGCGATGTTGCCCTCTTTCTAATCCAAAAAATTCCGTCACAGGTGGTTGGAATCCTCATTTTTGTTCAATGCCGTGTGAGAAGAAGCTTAGATGTGGGCAGCACTCTTGCGAGTCACTTTGTCACAGTGGTCACTGCCCTCCCTGCCTTGAGACAATTTTCACGGATTTGACTTGTGCTTGTGGGAGAACGTCAATCCCTCCTCCGCTACCTTGTGGAACACCTTCTCCTTCGTGTCAGTTACCATGCTCGGTTCCTCAGCCTTGTGGTCATCCACCTACTCACAGCTGCCATTTTGGAGACTGTCTGCCATGTGCTGTTCCTGTAGCAAAGGAATGTGTGGGCGGACATGTTATTTTGAGGAATATACCTTGTGGATCAAAAGACATCAGATGTAACAAGCTTTGCGGGAAGACCAGGCAGTGTGGCTTGCATGCATGTGCTAGAACTTGTCATTCTTCACCATGTGATTTTTCTGCTGGCCCCAGCAACGGCTCCAGAGCCTCTTGTGGGCAGACATGTGGTGCTCCTAGAAGAGATTGCAGGCACACATGTACTGCTCTTTGTCACCCCTCTTCGCCATGTCCTGATGTGAGATGTGAGTTTCCTGTTACTATTACTTGTTCTTGTGGCCGGGTCACAGCAAATGTTCCTTGTGATGCTGGAGGTCCGATTGTTGACTCTGTCTTTGAAGCTTCTATAATCCACAAGTTGCCTTCACCTCTTCAACCTATTGAAATAAATGGGAAGAAGGTTCCTCTTGGTCAGAGGAAGCTCACTTGTGATGATGAATGTGCAAAGATGGAGAAGAAAAAGGTTCTTTCTGATGCTTTTGGTATAACTCCGCCGAATTTGGAGGCCCTCCATTTTGGTGATGCAGCTGTCTCTGAAGTGCTAGGGGATCTTCTTAGGCGTGACCCTAAGTGGGTTTTGTCCATAGAGGAAAGGTGCAAATGTTTGGTCCTTGGCAGGAGCAGAGGCGGGGTTAATGCACTCAAAGTTCATGTTTTTTGCCCAATGTTGAAGGAAAAGCGGGATGCAGTTAGACTGATAGCTGCAAGGTGGAAGCTTTCAGTGAATGCAGCTGGTTGGGAACCCAAGAGATTCATCACTGTGCATGTTACACCCAAGTCCAAAGCTCCAGCGCGTATACTTGGTGCCAAAGGTTGTACTGTCAATAACATTGCTCAGCCTGCTGTTTTTGATTCTCTGGTGGATATGGATCCAAGGCTTGTGGTGGCTTTGTTTGACTTGCCAAGAGATGCAGACATTAGTGCGTTAGTTCTCAGGTTTGGTGGTGAATGCGAGCTTGTCTGGTTGAATGACAAGAATGCCTTGGCTGTGTTCAGTGATCCTGCCCGAGCAGCAACAGCTATGAGGAGGCTAGACCAGGGGTCAGCTTATTGTGGTGCTTCTGTAGTTCCTCAGAGTGGTGTTGCATCAGCAGTGACATCCGCTACTAATGCTTGGGGAGTCTCCGGAGCAGCCAAGGATGGGGGAGGAGCGGCAGCTCTTAAGGGTAATCCATGGAAGAAGGCTGTAGTCCAGGAGCCTCATTTGAGGGAGAGTCCATGGGATCCCGAAGAATGGTCCAAGAATCCCACTGATTCAGCCCCTTCTGCCTGGAGGACAAATGAAGCAACAACTGCTGCCTCGTCTAATAGGTGGAGTGTCTTAGAGCCTGAAATGACTTCCAATTTGCCGAGGGCGTCTATTACAATCAAGGAACCTGTTACTGAGCCAGGAGTGGGTGGTTCAGCTTTGCCCCCCAAACCTCAAGATGTGGGGGTCGACGAGATGGCAGATGTAGTGGATGATTGGGAGAAGGCTTACGATTGAGCGCCTGCAAATGCATATGTTTTTGCTGTCCATTATTTCTTCTATGTTTTCTCTTAAGTGCTCAGACGGGAGTTGATTTTTTTATGTTTAGTAGCTCCTGTTTACAATATTTGTTCATCATCTAAAGGGAGTGCTGTTTCCTTTTTGGTTCAAAAACACAACTCCTTTAGCCTTGGTGTCAATTTCCTCTTTTTTCCTCAATGAAGGAAAAGAATGAAGGGAAAAATATTGGTCGCATGGTTCAGAATGGGCACATGTTACAGGCTCTCGTTGGTGTAATGTGCTATTCGTAATCACGTCTAGTAAGGTAAATCTTTCTGCTGAGATCAGTGTTTTAAAATGCTGTTTGTTAAAAATTACAGGTACTGTTGTTTCCTTTGAAGCTCTTGATAGTTTATGGTAATAACTAATAATAACTGGTGCTTATTAGTAAAAGCCAGTTTTCTCTTAAATATGATTGTTGTGTCGATAGGCGGTAAGATGAGCTTCTTTCGTTACCTGCGATGATATGTATGGGGTCCGGTGTAATATCATTTTGGTTAACTTCGACTTAAATGAAATGACTCTTTCGATTAGTTAAATAGGAAGGTATATCATATTAACTGTCCATTTCAACACACTAATGTGTCCTATAAAATAATGGAGAAAACTTAAGGCAAGGATTTATGTCATCTGTCCATTTAATGATCACAAGGAAATAATTAAAAAATTTAAATATTAATTGTAACTTTTTAACAAATATGGTACTCCAATTTTCTTGTCGGAGAATTAAAAATTAATTGCATCTTGGAATCAAAAACTACCAAAGGAGAGTTAATTGTATTCCTAGTGTAATTATACAATTATTTTATTAATTAAAGAGGACAATTAATGAACACGAGAAGATTGAAATTTTAATGATTAATCATAATTATAACTTTTGAGGAAAGCACAACGCTGAACTTCCTTGCTGACAAAATTCCCTGATCCTAGTTCTTTATCCCAACTAAAACTAGAGCACTATTTAGCAAATATGCAAACCATAGTTTGATCTATACCAATATGAGCTCTGATGGGGTGAATAAGATCCCTCCATCCTTAATTAGAGGTTTCGGTTCCGAGTTCTGCATATGGAAAAAATTCTGTTGGACATTATGTGTAGTGGCGGAGCTAGGATTTTCATTAAGGCAAAATATAAAGAAATAAACTTATCAGAAGTCAAGGGGTGTCATTATATATATATATATATATATATATATATATATA